AGACTCAATGGGTCCCACATCCACAACCAATCAGATCCGCTCAAAATCCCCGTCTATTCTGAGCTCGGCCGCACTGAATCTCGCTCCCCACATCGCCCAACCCTAAAACCCCTCTCTGATTCGCTTGCCCATATAAATCTTAGCCTCTCACCGCCGTTTCGTTCCTCTGTCTCCTCCTCCTCCCCCTCCTCGCCTGGGGTTTCTGCATCTCACTCTGCAAACATGGTACCTCTCTCTCTCTCTCTCCCCTCTTCTTTCTCTCTCTAGAGATCTCTGCTGTGTGTGTTAACTGTTGGTTTATGTTGCGTTTTGCAGGCCAGAGGACTGAAGAAGCATTTGAAGCGGCTCAATGCCCCAAAGCATTGGATGCTCGACAAGCTTGGTGGTGCTTTTGTAAGTACTAACACCCTCTTCCCCTAATTAAAAATTTGAAGAAATTTTCATTAAAGCTCCAATCTTGTCCTCCATTGTGATATGGGTTTAATTTAAATTTTATCGTTAAATGTGTTTGTTAAGGCTCCCGAGTGAAAAATGAAGTTTCCCGGTAAATATACAATTTTTGCTTCAGTTTGATTTGGGGTTAATGTGAAATTTGGTTTCAAATGTGTTTGCTTGGGACACCAAGTGAAGAAATGATGAATTTTTACATTATCTTCAACTTTTTGCCTGATTTTGATTTGGGCTTAATTGAAATATTGTTCCAAATGTGTTTGTTTAGGCCCCCAAGCCATCATCTGGGCCCCACAAATCCAGGGAGTGCCTTCCCCTGGTTCTTATCCTGAGGAACAGGTTGAAGTATGCACTCACATACCGTGAGGTTGTTTCGATTCTCATGCAGCGCCATATTTTGGTTGATGGAAAGGTCAGGACCGACAAGACCTATCCTTCTGGCTTCATGGGTATGTTCTAAAAAATTTCGCTGTATTTAGTTCCGTTTTCTTATTTTGCGGAATGATTTTATTGCAGTGTATCTGTGATGCTTAGAAATGTGCTTAAAGTTATTTCATTTGTCTTCAGATGTTGTTTCGATCCCAAAAACAAATGAGAATTTTCGACTGCTCTTTGACACCAAGGGTCGGTTTAGGCTCCACTCCATTAGAGACGAGGAGGCAAAGGTTGGTGCTTAGTTTTGTAGAAATGTATACATTTTGTTTAACTTATGTATATCATGGGCATTTTGTACTGGGATTATTGGCATTATTGTTAGATTCGTTGTTGTGTTGATGCAAAATAAATGCTACAGTTCAGGTGTATCGGCGGTTCACTTAACTAATTCTACAAATAGAAAGTTTAGGACCTGCTACACTATTTTTATCTTGTACATTTTAGGTTTTTTTTTTTTTTTTTTGGGAGTCTAGTTTTCTTCAAGTTTCTGTTTGTTCTTTTTCAATATTGACATGTCAGTGGTGAGGAGTACTTTCTGAAATATATCTAGTTCAGTTTTGTTGTCTACTCTTGGCTAGATGATTAACTATTCAACTTGGTATTATAAATTCCATGAGCAGTTCAAGCTCTGCAAGGTCCGATCGGTGCAGTTTGGGCAGAAGGGCATCCCCTATCTTAACACTTTTGATGGCCGAACCATTTGCTACCCTGACCCGCTGATCAAGGCCAATGACACTATTAAGCTGGACTTAGAGACCAGCAAGATCACTGACTTCATTAAGTTTGATGTTGGTAATGTTGTCATGGTGACTGGCGGAAGGAATAGGGGACGTGTTGGAGTCATTAAGAACAGGGAGAAGCATAAGGGAAGCTTTGAGACCATCCACGTGCAGGATGCCCTCGGCCATGAGTTTGCAACCCGTCTTGGTAATGTGTTCACCATCGGCAAGGGTACCAAGCCTTGGGTTTCTCTTCCCAAGGGCAAGGGTATCAAGCTAAGCATCATTGAAGAGGCAAAGAAGCGACAAGCGGCCCAAACAGCTGCTACGGCTTAATCAATATGGCGTCGACTATAGATTGTTGTTCCTGTAGTTTTAGAAATGGTACTTAGTTGAATCAGTTAAGCAGTTTTACTTAATCAGCTTATGTTTACGGGGTTCTATTTTCTTTCGTTTTGGGGCCGTGCATTGTGGATTATTTAAGTTGCTATACTGGCTTGAATCCTGTTATGTTTTGTGCTGGAATGAGATGTGTATTGAACGATTTTTAATCAACTTCCTGCCTGTATTATGCTGATATTTGCGTAATCATTTCTTTAAAAGTTATCGGTCCTAAAATTTTTCCAGTTTTAGACCTATTAACTTATTTTTGGGGCAAATTTAGGCCAGAAATTTTTTCTGAGTTAGTGAGCTGGCCTACCACGTGTATATTTTTTGATGCACTTTAACTTTGTATATAATTAGTTAAAGATTTTGGAGATTTTTGAATTGTAATTAATATTTAACATTGTGCGATTTTGTCAACGGAGGGCAAGCCTAAAGTTTGATGGATTTTAATCATCCAAGGCAGTTTAGGCTTCAAAAACAGCATTTCAAATTATGTAATAAAAATCGGACCTTTCTCATCATTACAATCTTTAAACGAGTAATGCTTTTTGAGATTTCTCTCAAACCAGTGGCATCCAGACTTTTGGTTCTTCAGGGATTTGCGTTTGTAATCCTTTAACTTCGTGTTGCTTCACACATCCGTGTAATTCTTGTTTTCTTTGCACTGATCTCTCTACTAATTAGCCAACCAAACAAAAGCAGAATTGACATAATCTTTAGGCCTATTCTTTGCAATGCCTCTGGAACTTGAACTTAATCCCACTTCTCCCTCTGAAACAAAAACATCACATTTTACACATTGAAAACGATTTTTTTCTCCACTTTAACGGTATTCTGTCTAGGGACGTTTTGATATAGACGCCTCGTTTTTAAATATCATAGACTAAACATCTATTCCTTTTGCAAATTTGATTAAACATTTTCCCTACAATTTTGATACTTATATTTTATTTCATTATAAGTCTATTTACGGTAGCATTCCTTTTTTTTTTTCCTCCTATTTTTATGCATCTCTTATTATAATGATTTAAGTTTTTTTTATTTATTAAAATATTTATTTTAGTAAATTAAATAGAATGTAACAAAACTCATTGTTAGGCATGTTTGGTTATATCAGTACGTTTGATTGTAATAGTACGTTTGATTGTAATGGTACATTTAGTTACTTGGTACATTTGAATTTTTGGTCCATTTGGCTTCTTGGTTCCTTTGAATTTTTAGTACATTTGAATTTTGGTATATTTAGTTTTTGGTACATTTAGTTTTTGGTACGTTTGAATTTTTTGTACGTTTGTTTTCAAAACATAAGCTTTTTTACTTTTTGTCCTAATAAGACTATCTCCAATGGTTGGGCTAAAAGCCAAATATTTTAGCCTGGAAAATTTAGCTTTTAGCCTAGAAACAACTTTTCTGCTCCAACCATTATAGCCTAAAATTTTAGTCCGGGATTATTAAATAATGAATTTAGCCTTTTTTTTTTTGTTAAATAAAATTTAAAAAATTAAATAAATATGTAGACTATCGTAAATTAATTTTATAAACATTTTAATCTAAAAAAAAATAAATTCCGATAAATATTGGGTGGAGTTCACTCTGATTTCTGGGTTAAATTTTGGGGGGAATTTGGCCTTGGTTTAGCATTTAGCATTTAGCTCCAATTTTCCCCTTGGGTTGGAGTGGGTTTGGGGGAAAATTTTGGGAGGTAATTTAGCTTTTAGCTCACCATTGGAGTTGGTCTAATGAGGAATTATTTTAATTAATTATTTTTATTTTATAGAAAGACTCGTTAACAATGTAAAAGTTTAAATTACTTTAATTAACGGACAATAGCATTTTTTGTTAATTCAAAATTATATGATTTATCGTTATCATTTAGCATTATCTACAATAATAAAGATTTATCTCCAATCAACTAAAAGTTGTTCCAGAGACTTATCTACCAAAAATCAAGACTGTCCAGAGCATTGTGTATGAATCAAACATATTTTTAAACATTCCAAAAAGATGAATATTCATTTTAATATAGTTTATAATTGGGTACGTTTTAATTCGGGGTTGGTACGTTTTCGTTTGACATTGGTACATTTTCATTTAATATTGGTACGTTTCCATTTGGTGTAGGTTTACATTTAGATTTGAAAAGTTTAAATTTGTAGACTTAAATATAGTTGAAATATTTAAAATATATAGCTGATATTTAAATGTAAATTAATTTCAATTAATTTGAAGTTGTTCAAATTTGAGTATTTTAATCAAATGATTCAAAAGCTTAATCAAAAACTCAAAAAGCACAAATGTTTAGTCTATAAAAATCTAAAATGAGGCATCTAATTCTAATTTTCTCTTCTATCTGTTCCGTCAAAATATGATTAAATGTTATGTGCTGACGTCAAAATAGGGTTAAATCGAATTTTGCTCCTCTTTCGATTCGTTCTGGAAATTCCAGGAAATAAAACCGGTTGATGCCATCGTCCTCACAACTCATCCTCCCTCCAAACCAACTCACATATCATCTCAAATTTGATTCCAGTGTTGCTTCCACCAAAAATCCCAGGAATTAAAACTACAAATTAAGAGCTTGCATATTACATTGATTTTCTGTAAGGAGATTTGCATGGTGTCCACCATCTTCTTGGGCGAGATCCAAGCTTTGCAGTTTTCACATCCTAAGACACTTACGAACTCTGAGGCTTGATTTGCCAAAAGCCTCCGCCAAATCATCAAGTGCGATCGCGTTTGAGTTTTTTGGCTAAATTTTAAGATGATTATACTTTGATCAATCTTGGTTTTGTTGAATTTTATTAATTTGAAGGATAAAATCACTTAAAAAATTGTTTCAAGGGATTGAAGGCTTATCAAATGCCTTTTGGATCTAAATATAATCGTGTACACAGCTCGTGTGTTTCAGTGCCACACTGAAGGTACAATCATTGCTCAGACGATAACATATCGGATGCTAACTCGACTACTACAACGTGATATATATAATCCCTAGTTGCACGTAAGAATCTCACCTAAACTTGCTCCGAAACTATGTCAATCGGCAATGTACTCCAGGATTCGGTATTGCACGGTAACTGCCACCAAAACTGTGACCAAAACTATCACCAAACTCACAGTTGTTGGCAGCTGTACCAGAGTGCCCGTAGTGTCCATAATTTTCATACTGCCAAGATGACGGGTTTGGCCACGGATAGGCTGGGGTGAAGCTTGGCACTGGAAAAGGTGTAGCAGCTGATTCACATGTGCGAGGATACTTGCTTTTGTGCTGTTGTTGCTCTTGATACCAGCTGGGGTCAAAAGTGTTGGTACTACGCTTCGCACCTGTACCATCCCTATTGATGATGGATTGATTAGTATGTTCCAATTCTTTCTGCTTCATTGCAAGCTCTTTCACCCGGTGATCAAGTTGCCTCTCTATCGATGTCAGGATTTGGGTCTGTTTTTCAGCGCCTTTTTTTATTGAATCGATTGATTTCTGCTTCATTACAAGCTCTTTGGCCTGCTCTTCAAGTTGCCTCTCTTTCGTGTTCAGGTTTTGGGTACGTTCTTCAGCTGATTTTTTTATCGAATCAATTTCTTTCTGCTTCAACGCAAGTTCTTTGACCTGATCTTCAAGTTGCCTCTCTTTCTTGTTCAGGTTTTGGGTATGTTCTTCAGCGGATTTTGTTATCGAATCAATTTCTTTCTGCTTCAATGCAAGCTCTTTGGCCTGATCTTCAAGTTGCCTCTCCTTCGTGTTCAGGTTTTGGGTATGTTCTTCAGCGGATTTTTTGATCGAATCAATTTGTTTCTGCTTCAATGCAAGCTCTTTCATCTGCTTTTCAAGTTGCCTCTCTTTTGATTTCAGGTTTTGAGTTTGTTCTTCAGCGGACTTTTTTATTGAATCAATTTCTTTGTGCTTCAACTCAATTTCTTTGGCCTGATCTTCAAGTTGCCTGTCTTTTGATTTGAGGTTTTCGGTATGTTCTTCAGCGCATTTCTTCATCGAATCAATTTCTTTGTGCTTTAATTCAATCTCTTTGGCCTGATCTTCTATTTGCCTCTCTTTCGACTTCAAGGTTTCGGCATGTTCTTCATCGATTTTCTTGATAAAGTCCTTCTGCTTCAATGCAAGCTCTCTGGCCTGCTGCTGAAGTTGGCTCTCTTCCCTCTGCAGTAAACTCTCTTTCCCTTGCAGTTGGCTCTCTTTCCCTTGAAGTTCCCTGGAGACTGCATCCAAATACTTCTCACCTTCTTGTTTCGATTCTTCGATTTGCTTCTCTTTCAATTCAAGCTCCCTCACTTTCAGTTCAAGCTTACATGACCACTCCTCCAGTGCCTTCTCACGTAAGCAAACTTCTCTCTCCTTCAAATCTACTTCCCTAATCAACGCTTCTCTCGATTCGAGTTCATTCGAACGCTCTACTAATGATTGCTTAATCAAACTAAGCTTCTCCTCTTTGACTTCCAACTCTTTGCCACATTCGTCGATCAACCTTAGCACCAAATTCAATTCCTCCTCTCTCAAATCAAACTCCCCCGTACTCGCCTCAATCGACCCCAGAATCTCATTCAATTCCCTCTCCTTCTCCCTCACAGAATTCTCCACTTCCTCCAATCTCTCCTCCTTAATACCAACCTCGCCGTTGTGTTCTTTGATCAATGATTCAAACGAGCGCAAGCGGTTCCTACTCTCTACAATCAATTCCTCAAGCACGCTTAATTCCTTGGACTTTGACTCCATCTGTGAATTGAGCTTCGACTCTTCGATTTCCAACTGCTCGTTGCGGATTCCGACTTCCTCCTCGCGGTTCTTGAGCTCCGAGAATCTGGCCTCGATGGACTGTCGGGTGGACGCTAAGTGGTCCTCGAGTTCCTTCCACTGTACCGAAAACATGGCGAGGGAGGTTGCTTGGAAGCGAAGGCAACCGTACGCCTTGCTCAAACGACTCTGCTTCGACTCTGATTCTTTCAAAGCGTACTCTATCTTCTTCTCCATCGTCTCTGCTGCATAAACACTAAACGACAACGACATCGTGGCGGCGAGGGATCGTCTGCTAAAAACCCTAGAAACAAGAGGACGAGAAGAGAGAGTAATGTAGTTGTGCTAAATGGTTAAAGCAAGCTCACGTATTTGATTAAATAGAGACTGTTTTCCTGAAGGAAAGAGGGTTAGGAGAAAACAAAGGAAAGTGGTTTTCCCACAGCATCTAGGAAAAATAAAGGAAATAGGATTAAAATGATAATGAGATAATAAAAATTATTCAAGAAACCAAATTAAATTATAAATAATAGCTCTCTTGTAGGCGGAGTGTGGTAAATTGCATGCCCAAAAAAGAAGAATGTAATTCATGTTTTCAAGTATTTAAATACTTATTTGGCTTCTTAGTCGAAATGTTATTTGAGATTGACATAATTTTTCATTTGATCACTGAGATTTAAAATCAATAGAAGTGGTCACCGAGATTGTCTACCGTCAATTATTGATCATTCTACTATTACAAGTGAAGGGGTTGATTTGACAAAAATACACTTAACTAATGGAGATTTTTATGGAAGAAACAAATGATTGACGGTAAACAATTTCAGAGTCTACTTCTATCAATTTTAAATATCAAAGATCAAAGTAAAGTTATATTAATCTCTAGTAGCATTTTGGCTAAAAACCTATTATTTTAAAGTACCATGTCCTACAGAACAGGGGAAGGTAATTTGGAAAGATAGCTAGAAAGAGAAATTGAAATGTAAGGCTTAAGCCAACGTTTTATAAATTACCTAAAAAACTTCGAAAGTAAAAGTGATGTATTGTTCTGGTGGTTAGAAGTTTTTTGTTCAATCCATTGTTTCTCAAATACTTTGTAAGTACACCGTACACACCACTCAATCAAACCATGCGCCAAACCCAACCAAGAAAATATCTCATCTCCACCGTTAGATAAGCATCTCATCTCCACCGTTAGATATCTATCTAACGGTGGAGATGAGATGCTTTTTTAAGTTCAGTCGGTGGATCCTTCAATTGCATAATATGTCATCGATTGCACGTAAGCAATAACAGTCTCTCCAAAATCAAGGTTTTTATTTTTTATACATCAAAAGTTAAAAGTTATATTTCAAAACTAGTCAAACTATGCCCAGAGCATTTACAACAAAGTCCGACCAACATATCCGCGATGGCGTGTAGGAGGAGGGCCGGGAAAGTACGGATGCGGCCGGTAATGTATTCCCGGATCCGGACCAAAAGTATGGATGGCGTGTAGGAGGTGTCCGCCATTTTTGTAATGCCGAGATGGATAGCCTACTGGGGTGTAATTTCGCTCTCGATAATGTGCAATAGCTGATTCAGATGGCGGAGGATAGCCTGGGTCGAAGGCTGGCAGTGGAACAGCTGATTCGTATGTCCGACGAACCTTCTTTTTGCGCTGTTGTTGCGGTCGGAACCCGGAGTCAAAAGTGGCGGTACTGCGTTTCTGACCTCTACCATCCGAATCGATGCTGGATTCGTTACTTGCGGGAGAATGATCTGCTTTGCTGGCAAGGGTACCTTCCAATTCTTCGATCGAATCTTCTTTCTGCTGCACTGCAAGCTCTTTCCTCTCTTGATCGAGTGCCCTCTCTTTCGAATTCAGGGTTTCGGTGTGATCTTCAGCTGCCTTTTTGATCGAATCCAATTCTTTCTGCTTCAATGCAAGCTCTTTCGTCTTGTCTTTGAGTGTCCTATCTTTAGATATAAGTGTTACAGCTTGTTCTTCAGCGGATTTTTTCATTAAATCGATTTCCTTCCGCTTCAATTCAAGCTCTTGGGCTCTGTCATCGAGTTGCCTCTCTTTTGATTTCAGGTTTTCAGCGTGTTCCTCAGTGGATTTTTTAATCGAATCTAATTCCTTGTGCTTCAATGCCAGCTCCTTTGCCTGCTCTTCGAGTTGCATCTCTTTTGATTTCAGGGTTTCAGCTTGTTCTTCAGCCATTTTTTTCATTGAATCGATTTCCTTCCGCTTCAATTCAAGCTCTTGGGCCTTGTCATCGAGTTGCCTCTCTTTTGATTTCAGGTTTTCAGTGTGTTCCTCAGCGGATTTTTTGATCGAATCCAATTCCTTCTGCTTCAACTCAAGCTTCTTGGCCCTGTCTTCAAGTTGGCCCTCTTTCGATTTCAGGTTTTGGGTACGTTCCTCGGCGGATTTTTTTATAGAATCAATTTCTTTCTGCTTCAACTCAATCTCTTTGGCCTGATCTTCAATTTGCCTCTCTGTCGACTTCAGAGTTTCGGTGTGTTCTTCAACGATCTCCTTCATCAATTCTTTATGTTTCAGTGCAAGCTCTCTGGCCTGCTGCTGAAGTTGGCTCTCTTTCCTCTGCAGTAAGCTCTCCTTCCTTTGTAGCTGGATCTCTCTCCCTTGAAGTCCCCTGGAGACTTTATCTAAATACTTTTCGCCTTCTTCTTTCGATTTTTCGAGCTCTTTCTCTCTCAATTGAAGCTCACAACTCCACTCCTCCACTGCATTCTCAAGCAAACCCAAATCACTCTCTTTCAAATCCATTTCCCTAATCCTTCCTACCCTCAATTCGATTTCCTCCGCTTTTGCTCTCAACTCCCTCTCACATTCCTCAATCGACCTTCGCGCCGATTCCAGCTCCTCCCCGCTCAAATCAAACTCCGCCTTTCGCGCCTCGATCGACCTCAGAATCTCTCCCAACTCCCTCTCTTTCAGCTCAATGTCGGCCGCTTTCGCTCTCAACTCCCTCTCACATTCCTCAATCGACCTTAACGCCGATTCCAGCTCCTCCCCGCTCAAATCAAACTCCACCTTTTGCGCCTCGATCGACCTCAGAATCTCTCCCAACTCCCTCTCTTTCAACTCAATGTCCGCCGCTTTCGCTCTCAACTCACTCTCACATTCCTCAATCGACCTTCGCGCCGATTCCAGCTCCTCCCCGCTCGAATCAAACTCCGCCTTTCGTGCCTCGAACGACCTCAGAATCTCTCCCAACTCCCTCTCTTTCAGCTCAATGTCGGCCGCTTTCGCTCTCAACTCCCTCTCACATTCCTCAATCGACCTTAACGCCGATTCCAGCTCCTCCCCGCTCAAATCAAACTCCGCTTTTCGCACCTCGATCGACCTCAGAATCTCTCCCAACTCCCTCTCTTTCAACTCAATGTCCGCGTTGCACTTGTCCATCAATCCCTCAAACCGCTCAGCCGCCTCCCGCTCCTTCGCCTCCATCGAATTCAATTTTCTAGTCCTCTCATCAATGCGCCCCTCGATGATCTCACACTCCCTCTCCTTCTCCCTCACGAAATCCTCCACTTCCGTCAACCGCCTCTCCTGAACAGCAACCTCTTCGCTGAGCTCTTGAATCACCGATTGGAGCGAGATCAGCTCGTCCTTTCTCGCTTCGATCAATTTCTGAAGCACTTGCAACTCATTGGATTTCGCCTGCATCTCCGAGCGGAAACTCGACTCTCTGGCTTCCAAATCCTCGTCCCGGACTCGGACTTCCTCCTCGCGGTGCTCGAGTTCTCGGAATCGAGCCTCGACGGATCGGCGCGTGGACTCCAAGTGGTCCTCCAGGTCCTTCCACTGTCCGGAAAAGAACATGAGGGACTTCGCTTGGGCGTGGACGCAGTCGTACGCCTGGCGCAGAGTCCTCTGCTTCAACTCCGATTTTTTCACTGCGGCTTCTAGCTTCTCCATTGTCTCTTCCGCCGCCGTGGCTGCTTCTGCATAACCTCCTAGAGGTGAGGAATCGCCCGCAGTTGTAAGCGAGATAATTGAGCGCAGCGAACCGTACTCTCGTTCAAGGAGACAGCGTCAGAGTGTGTTGTGGAGTTCCGTAGATTTTTTTAATTTGTAATTAATTTGAGCCACAAACGTTATCACAATGATTTACACTCGAGGGGAGACGGTGGAAAGCGAGTAATGATTTAGGCCAACGGGTCACATATCGGTCTTCAACTCACACGGTATTAATAGAAGATAATTTTCAGTCTATTAAGAACACGGGCACAATACACTATTATACAATTGTAGGAAAGTTTATTTTTAATGTATTCTTTCAATTGCATAATGATATGTGTTGTTTTGTTCTGTGTTCTGCGTATCTTAATAATTTTCTTCTAGTTAACATCATATTTCTTCATTTACCATTCAATGCCAACAACAACAACAAAAGTCTTACTTCGTTAAGTAGAGTCGACTGTATAATTCTTAGAATACCACCACGCTTGATTTTGCGCCAAATCTTTCATTAACTCCAATGATTTCATATGTTTTCTTAAAAATCTCTTTTCAAGTCTTTCTAGGTCTTCCTTTATTCATTTTGCTCCGACTCTCTGTCTTATTGTTGAATTTTTTTTATTGGAGTATTTGTATGTCTTTAGCTCATGTGTCTAAATTATCTTAACTAATTTTCTCTCATTTTACCTTCAATTGCGACTATTCTACTTGCCTTCGGATATTCTCGTTCATTATTCAATGCCCTAGGACTAAAATTCACCATTCACCATTCACCATTCACCATTCACCATTCAATGCTTAGGAGAAGAATTCTTCGTTCACCATTCAATGCCCAGGAGTCAAAAGCAATTGCATCAACGGTAGGAAATATGGTTCACAAGCAAGTGTATACAACACACTTCCATACGGGTCCCATTATGTTAGCTTCTCACCAATTGTCGGCAGCAACTGGCACGCAAAAGTGATCCAAAGAAAGAAATGCATTAGTGGAAAGTAAAAGAGTGAGAAAAAGATGTAAATATTTGGATCCTCGTCATATACCCTCCCTGAGGATTCTGGGGATCAACGTACGTGGATCGTTGATAAAAAATCGTATGGTCATAGTTTTTTATTTTTTTATATTTTCACGTAAAACGAGGTTACTTTACTTTTTAAAATATAAAAAATATTAAATTATGGCCGCATGATTTTTGATCAACGATTCACGTACGTTGAACCCTATGATCCCCTGGGAAGGGATCCGGTGAGGATCCAAATCCTAAAGAGAGGAAAAGGATCCTGAACTGGCACGCAAAAGTGATGCAGTTCTTGGTGACATAAAGAAAGAAATGCATTAGTGGAAAGTAAAAGAGAGAGAAAAAGATATAAAGAAAGGAAAAGGCTCCTCGCCAAATTTTTTTTTGAAGATCTGGGAAATTCCGTGATCGTTTATTGTACATTGTGTAGTCAGTTTTTGTTAAGTACTATTTATATTTATTTTTAAATTTTTAAATTTCAAATGATTTCTGATCACACGATGTACGATGAACAGACACAATCACTGGATCCCCAAGAAAAGGATCTAATGAGGATCCTTTTCCACAAAGAAAATGAGTTGGGATTGTGAATAAATGTATCTGAACGGAATTGAGGAATCTTATTTTTAAGTTTATGAGTATTTTAGTTACAGACTATATACTTTTCTTAGGGATCCTAGAGATCCCGTGATCTCACATGTTCATCGTACGATCAGAAATCATTTCAAAATTTAAAATTTAAAATTTAATATGAATAGTATATAACAAAAACTGATCGCACGATATACGATAAATGGGTGAGATCACGGGATCCCTAGGATCTTAGGAAAAGGATCCTTGTTGGATCATTTTCCTTTAGTTACGACTGTTAAAAAGACAGGTGATATCTTATTTTAAAAAGTGCATTTATGAGTGAAACTAATTAATATAAGTTGTATTGCGTAATTTTAAGATTTAACATGATCTTCTTCGGAATCTTTTGGTGAGGATCATGGGAATTTATGAATTATGTCCGTTCATTGTACATCGTGCGGTTAGTTTTTGTCAAGTACTGTTTATGTTTATTTTTAAATAAAAATATTTAAAATGATTTCTGATCACACGATGTACGATGAATGGACACGATTCACGAATCCCCCGAATCTTCACAAAGAGAATCCTAAGGTGGCCGATGTGTTGCGTTTCTCATTGTTCAACATGTCTCTTCACTTAGAACTATTATTTAATGCATCAAACGTCCAATCACTTTCGCATCAGTTATTCAAGCAACTTTCTTTGGTATTATGTTGAGATTTCAAACATAATGATTAATGGTTCGTTACTAAGTTCATCTCCAACTGAAGGGTCCAGAGGGCCGAAAATTGTCTGAAAATCGTCTCCAACTAAGGGTTAGGTCAGAGGTCTCGTGGGCCCCACTAAATCTGAAAGGGCCAACTGGTGGGCCCAATTTTTTTATTAATGTTGTCGGATTTCCATAAAGAAAATGAGTTGGGATTGTGAATAAATGTATCTCAACGGAATTGAGGATTCTTATTTTTAAGTTTCTGAGTATTTTAGTTACAGACCATATCCTTTTCTTAGGGATCCCGTAATCTCACATGTTCATCGTACATTGTACGGTCAGTAATCATTTCAAATTTTAAAATTTAAAATTAAATATGAATAGTATCTAACGAAAACTGATCGTACGTTATACGATAAATAGGTGAGATTACGACTATTCAAAAGACGGTTGATATCTTATTTTAAAAAGTGCAGTTATGAGTGAAACTAATTAATATAAGTTGTATTGTGTAATTTTAAGATTTAACATGATCTTCTTCGGATTCTTTTGGTGAAGATCATGGGAATTTATGAATTGTGTCCGTTCATCGTACATCGTGCGATCAATTTTTGTCAAGTACTGTTTATGTTTATTTTTAAATAAAAAATATTTAAAATGATTTCGAACCGCACGATGTACGATGAATGGACACGATTCACGAATCTCCCGAATCCTCACAAAGAGAATCCGATGTGTTGCATTTCTCATTGTTCAACATGTCTCTTCACTTGGAACTATTATTTAATGCATCAAACATCCAATCACTTTCACATCAGTTATTCAAGCAACTTTCTTTTGTATTATGTTGAGATTTCAAACATAATGATTAATGGTTCATTACTAAGTTCATCTTTAACAAAAGGGTTCAGAGGGCTGAAAATTGTCTGAAAATCGTCTCCGCTAGGTCAGAGGGCTCGTGGGCCCCACTGAATTTGAAAGGGCCAATTTCTTTTTTTAATGAATTTAAACCTTTTTTTTTCCTATAAGACCTAAGTCATTCATACACCATTTCTCGAATAATTTCACCATTCCATACTATCTCACTTCATTCTATTTCAATTCTTCACATTATATTTTCTTACCTCTTCCAAAAATATTTCCTTCAATTTTTTCAATAATTTTCAAATGGCCTCATATGCAATGAAAGGTAGGCCTTGGACCCGAAAAGAAGATAAGGCTCTTTGCAGGGCTTGTAGATGGGTCTCGGAAGATAGTGTGAGTGAGATTTCTCAAACAAGTGAAGGTGTTTGGACTCGTGTGTCCAAAAAATATTTAGAGTTCTACGAAGACACCATTCCACCGAATACCCAAAACCACGAGAGTTGTCCTTCAAGATGGAAGAAACATCTTCATCCAAATTTGAATAAATGGCATCAAGTACTATTAGCATCCGCAAGTAGGGCATGAAACCGGTGTCAATTACTACGACGAAGTTAGTGTTTTCACAGTTTATTTTAAATGTTTAATCATATTACCTTTAATTTCATAAATTAATTTCCCTTAATTTTTGTAATTATATTTTCTAGGTACACCAAGCGGAGGAATTCTATATGAAGGGCAGCTCAAAACCCTTTCAGTTTCACAGTGTTGTTGAGAAATTTGTAAAGGGTGGGTGTTATTTGAAGATCCACCTCAACATATAGTAGGTCCTATGTCGATGTTCAGAATTGCATCCCCATCTGTATATATGGATGAAGATGGATCTCATACCATTCAACAAACAAGGGTAGAAAATTCATCTATGGGCGAAGGTTCCTTACCTAGGGCTATGGGACGAAACAAGTCCTGAAGGTTGAAGGAAAAGGGTAAGGCAAATGATGATTACGCCGCTTAACTGGAAGTGGCGGCCTCATTGTGATTACTGGCGGAGCAAAATGCCATTGTCACGGAAGAAAGGAACCGTAGGCATGATAAATGGGCTAAACAAATACAAGAAGAGATAGATGATAAGAACATGGAAAAGAACATTACAAATTACACTCCAATGAGTAAGGCCTATTTTGAGAGGAAAAAAAAAAGAAAGAAATTATAACCCGACGGCAGTTGTTTACCTCTAACTATACTCCTACAATGGCAGATGATGAAGATGATGTTGATTATGGATATTAAATTAATTTGTAGTTTTTAAGTTAACGTTGTTTTTAAATTTAATTTGTAGTTTTTAAATTTAAGTTGTGGTTTTTAAATATAAGTTGTTGTTTTTAAATATAAGTTGTTGTAGTTTTTAAATTTAAATAATAAATTATGTTTGGCCCTATGTCCCTCGGTTGGAGATGGAGGCAAATATGACCATATATTGTTCATTAAAATATTAATATTTTAGAGGGCTAGAGGGCTAAAACGAACCCTCTGGCCAGCCCTCGGTTAGAGATGGTCTAACCACACTAATACTATCACCAAATTAACCACCTATTCAATCGAATAGGCGTGAGGTTTTGATCCTAAATTTTCTTAGTGCAATTAGAAGTAGAATTATTTAATATAAGTTGTTATTTGTTTTATAAGATGATGGATGTCGAAGTTTTCTCATGATTCATCAATCTTATTGTAGTAAATGAATAATGGTAAAAACGGTTTTTAATTAGGTGGAGAGATATTTTCTTGTCACTAATTAACCATGTAGCAAGTATCCTTTTGAATGGGCCGTCCATTTTTGAACATGTGACTAATACCTATTGAGGAGTGACGATAATGCTTTGGCTGCAAGATAGAATCTCTTCTTTATGCATAGGTCTTGGAAGAAGACTTGGTGATCGGGATGACATGATGATATTAAAAAATAATAGAAAGTGAATGAAACATGTGAGATATGTGTTTCGTAGTAACATTGAACAATTATTTCATAAACATGGTATGGAATACAATACTTGTTTTACTATTTTGAGCAAATTATATATTGTAATGTCATATATTAATTTATGGAATTCATTTCTATGTCTGACATTCGTTAAAAATTTGTTAAGCTAGCCGATAAGTGATGACATAATAACAATGATTTCTACATTCGTATTGAAATACTACCAACTTATAACATTGACAGTCACGTCAATACAAACGTAGAACCCACTATTATTATACTATCAAACAATTAAATTAACAAATTTTCTAACAGATATATGAATTTATTTTGTGACGCAAGATTAAAGTGGTACACACATTGTTAAGGGGAATTAGATCTCCTCCGAACTATACTCTATAGCCTACAGATAAAAAAATCTAATTAAACTTCATAATTTATAGAGAGAGACGAAATTGCCAAGTAGGACTGCTGAATTAGCGGAGAACACCGCTAACTGCCAAAAGCCTCCACCAACATTCTCACTCATATACTACTTTTCAGCATAAAAAACTTTAGCCTTTTATCTCCCTCTTCAAGTCCAAAGTACAAACCCAGAAAATGCCCCCAAATCTCTGCACACTCCTCTTCCTCCTGGCGACCACCTTCTCCACCTGCGGATCCATAGGCGTGAACTGGGGTACGACGGCGTCGCACCCACTACCGCCGACCAAGGTGGTGGAGCTGCTGAAGTCCAACAATGTCACCAAGGTCAAGCTGTTCGACGCCGACCCAGGCGTCCTCGGAGCGCTTTCTGGGTCCAAGCTTAGCGTCACTGTGGGCATTCCCAATGCATTGCTTAAATCCCTCAACTCTTCCAAGAAGGCTGCCGAGAGTTGGGTACATGACAATGTCACTCGCTACGTCTCCAACGGCGGCGGCGGCGGCGTTAAAATTGAGTGAGTTTTCGTCCTTCTCTTTGGTTTTTTGCCCGATGGGGTTTTAATTTGATGCTGCGTTTGGATTTTAGGTGGTAAATAGTTGATTTACTGTCGATGAAATTTGATTGTTAGAAATACCCAATTGCTGAATTGCATTGTATTTGTGTAACACATTTAGAAAGAATGCATCTTGTTACTGCTTTTGCTCAGATTAAGTGATATCGTTGGCATTGTGTTGCAATTTTGGGGCAATGTAGATGTTAAAAAATCGTAGTTTTCGATCAAAGTTGCATTGCGCATGAAGTGGGGACTTTTGTGAAATTATCCTTAGTTCAATGTCTATGAAAAGAACCACAAACGAAAGGAGACCATGTCAAAATATTCATCATTATGTTTTTCAGAGTAGATGCTTAACCATCACGTCAAGGTTACTCTTTTATGTCGTATGAGCCAGCATATGGAATTTAAAGATACTTTTATAGTGTTCTTCATGGTTGAAGAATAAAAGAAAAGAGTAGATAATGGTATTTGTGTTCCGGTGCTTCTAGTTCAAGTCCCCTGGCATGTTCAACCGCTGCATTGGTGCTTGATTTTTTTCAAATAAACCAATAAACTTTCTAGGAGATGAGAGTTATGCCTAGAGGCTAGAGCAACAAGAAACTTTCCTCTGTCTATTAATCTTTAAAGAGGAGCCTGTTGCCTCTCCAACATGCCAGTATCAGTGATCTCTCACTGGGCTTAATTGCATTAGGACTGATCGAACAAGCAAATTTTGTAGTGAGAAGAAATCTTTGCAGGATAATGGTAGAATATCGCTTTTTCCTTTTAGGTTTAGTCAGCCGTGCAAGGACAATTTGACAGATAAAGTTTTGTAGCAGGGGTTCCGCGGTTCATGAACTCATTAGCCTCGTAGAGTAACTACTGAATGTTTGTTTATTGATCAAATCAGATGTCGAATGGATTTTTCTCATTCCTGAATCAAGATATGGTTGTTTCGTTTTTTTATCTACTGGTTTCTAACTAGTCTATTTTCAGGTATGTTGCTGTTGGAGATGAGTCATTTCTGCAGGGTTATGGTGAACAATTTCACCCATTCGTCATAGGAGCAGCAATGAATGTTCACACAGCTTTGGCCCGAGCAAAATTGGAGAGCAATGTGAAAGTAGTGGTGCCTTGTAGTTTTGATTCCTTCCTGTCAGAGTCTGGCCATCCTTCGAAAGGACACTTTCGGGCTGACCTCAATAGAACCATGATTGAACTGCTCACGTTTCTCAGCAAGCACAATTCACCATTCTTTGCAACCATTTCCCCGTTCATAAGTCTCCGCCAGAACAAAAACATTTCCCTCGACTTCACTCTATTTAAAGATAATGCAAAACCTCATAACGACAGCCGCAAAACATACAAAAACAGCTTTGACTTGAGCTATGACACCTTGGTTACTGCTTTGTCAAAAGTAGGATTTCCTAAGATGGAAATTGTTGTGTCACAGATTGGTTGGCCTACAGATGGAGCAGCCAATGCAACCACTTCCACTGCAGAGACATTCATGAAAGGCCTGATGGCGCACCTTCGCAGCAAATCGGGAACCCCACTCAGACCTCGGAATCCTCCAAGCGAAACATATGTTTTTAGCCTCTTAGATGAGGACCAAAGAAGCATAAGCACTGGAAATTTTGAGAGACATTGGGGTGTCTTCACTTTTGATGGTCAAGCCAAGTACCGTTTTGATTTCATCCAAGGTTCGAAAAATCTCGTGGACGCACAGAATGTGGAGTACCTTCCGGCTAAGTGGTGCGTGGTGAACAATAACAGGGACTTATCTAATGCGACTGCTAGTGCTTCAGAGGCATGTTTGCATGCCGATTGCAGTGCAATGTCTCCTGGCGGGTCTTGCTCCAATATCAGTTGGCCTGGCAATATCTCATATGCATTTAACAGCTACTATCAGCAGCATAACCAGAGTGCAGATAGCTGTGACTTTGGTGGCTTGGGTTTAATCACAACTGTCAATCCATCCGTGGATAATTGCAGGTTTTCGGTTCAGCTACGCACTTCTCTTTCAGATTCCTTCCGCCCGGACTACCTTTCCCTGTGGATGACCTTGCTAGTGACAACCCTTTTGTTATCTTTACCCCGATTTACATAGAAGATAGATTTCGAGGAAAGTTTTGAGAAAATAGATATGTGAGGAATTTTTTTGCCGCTGTATGATCCGACTGCTGATCGATTGTTGCCGGTTTTGTTGTTGTAACTTGTGTGAGGTTCAAACACTTCTTGGAGTTATTGCTCTACAAACATTCAAGATAGTAAAAGAAGGGTTTGGGAAATCTCTATATTTGTTTCTTGTTAGTATGCAGTGTGTGTGAGCATTTCAATTTCCCAATTAGTAAGAAAAGACGAGATCTACAAGCGTATGTGTGGATTAGGTCAGTTGGCGGTGGAGATATCAAGAGCTGATTTGTAATTTAATTGGTTAGATTAATGTACCTGCCACTTATGCTTGAATTCGAATCTCCCTCCTCTGACTTGTTAAAAATAAATATAAAAAAAAAGAAAAGAAAAAGGAAAGCTGTAACGGGCCTGGAGGCCCAAAGAAAACCCAATCCGGACTCAAAGGGCTTCGGGTTTGGGCTTTGACATAATTAAGTAACACGTGTTGGAGTCAAAGTCTTGGAGACCTATATAAAGTAGATGCTCTCCAGCGCGTAAGTATCTTTGTTTCGAGTCTTACCCTAATCTCTGTGTCCCTGTGATTGTTTCGCTTCTCTCTCGCTCGAACCTAGATCATGGCTGGAATCTACGGTCAAGGGGGCGATGGTGCCCCTCCGACATACGGATCTAGCGGCGGCGGTGGCTATGGGGGTTCTGGCGGATACGGAGGCGGTTCTGGTGGTTATGGAGGTGGTGGTGGAGGCGGGAGCTATGGTGGAAGCGGTGGTGGTGGATACGGAGGTAAGGGCGGCGATGGAGGTGGTTACGGTGGTGGACGGGGCGGTGGCGGTGGTGGCCGAGGTAAATTTCATTACTTTGTTCCTTTTGAGTTTATAAGAGTTTATAATTGTTTTAAATTCTTTTGCTTTTGATTTGACGGATTTGGTTTTGATTGTAGGTGGAGGATATCAAGGCGACCGTGGTGGTGGAGGCAGAGGTGGCGACCGTGGTGGTGGCGGCAGAGGCGGCCGCGGTGGCAGTGGAAGAGATGGTGATTGGCTGTGTCCTAATCCAGGGTAAGCCCTTTCTCTTTTTCTATCTCTCTTTCTTTCTATTTGATTTTGATCGGTTTTATGATTTATTTAATCTTATCCGTATATTTTATTGGTTTTAGAATTCACTTCTTAGAATTAAAACTAAAAGTATTAGCTTTAAGTCGAAATTTGTATATTTTTGTTTATTTTCCTTATTGCATATGTATATGTGGTTTATGGAATCGGTATGGTTGTATATAGCTGTGGGAATTCAAACTTTGCAAGAAGAGTTGAGTGTAATAAGTGTGGCACGCCCTCTCCTTCGGGTGCCGGTGGTGATCGTGGCAGTGGTGGTGGTTATAACAGAGGAGGAAGTGGTGGGGGCTACGGTGGTGGTAACCGTGGTGGTAGGGGTGGTAATTATGATGGGGGTCGAAGTGGTAACTATGAAGGAGGTAAAAGTAGCAGTTATGATGGAGGCAGAGGCAGTAGTTATGACAGTAGAGGCGGTGGTGGTAGTAGAGGTGGTTCTTATGGTGGTAGTCAAGGAAGAGATGATGGTGGGTATGGTCAGGTTCCTCCAAGTGCTCCACCGTCCTATGGTGCAGCTGGAGGCAATTACGCACCATCTTACAATGCTAGTTATGGAACAGATGCAGTTCCGCCTCCTACAAGCTATACTGGTGGACCTGGATCATATCCCCCATCTTATGGTGGTCCTGCAGGTGGTTATGGTGGTGATGGTCTAGGTGATGCAAGGGGTGGTGGGCGTGGGGGCCCTCCAGCTAAATATGATGGTGGATACAGTGCTGGTGGTCGTGGTGGATATGGCAGTGCTGCTACGGAAGCCCCAGCTAAGGTGAAGCAGTGCGACCAGAATTGTGATGATACTTGTGACAATGCTAGAATCTACATATCAAACTTACCACCAGATGTTACCGTTGACGAACTTCAGCAGCTCTTTGGAGGCATTGGACAAGTAAATCCATACCTACTTCTGAACTTTGTGCATCCGAGTTTATAAGATTGAATTTTGTTTACTGATTTTTATAGTTTGAGGATCTGTATGGAAATTTATTTTTCATTTCTCTAGCAGTTGTAGGAACAAGTTAAATTGCCTTGTCAGCTCCACAAATTGGTATACATTTTTTCGGTTACTTAATGCTAAGTTATTGTTCAGGTGGGAAGAATCAAGCAGAAACGTGGCTATAAGGATCAATGGCCATATAATATCAAAATATACACAGACGAGTCTGGAAAAAACAAAGGCGACGCATGTTTAGCCTATGAAGATCCCTCTGCTGCACATTCAGCCGGTGGATTTTACAATGGTAACTCTTTTGCTTTTATTCCGCATGGTAAGATGATGTTTAAGTCGTCCTTTTCTAACTGGGTATTGTGCTTACAGATTATGACTTAAGGGGCTATAAGATCAGTGTTGGAATGGCGGAGAGATCAGCTCCAAGGCCTTCGTTTGAACAAGGGTAGATATCTATGTACATTTTACGTTTTGAGTGAAGTTGAAAGTAACTCTTTTTCTTGTTGTTCATGTTCTATGTTGCTTCCTCAAATTGGGAGAAATTTCCAGTGGATATGTATCCTGATGTTTAATATTTGCTTGTGGGTTTTATATTTTGTTCTTTTTCCTGATGTCACAATCACTAAAGTCATTGATTAATTCAATTGTGGTATTCTGTTAATGGGTGATACACTGAATTTCCGATGTGGTTTATGAAATTCTTTTGCAATATATGGTTTTCTGTAGTGAAGAGATGTAGCTTTTTTTTATTATGGCAATTTGTTTGCATGCTGGTTTATTTAAACTGTGGGTCCAGTGTTTTTGCGTGAATGAGTTTCTGGTTTGCTTATTTAATTTTGTGCACTTGGCTGCATGCTGAGTCCTGACTTGCTTTTTCTTGTGCAAGCAGTGGTGGTGGCGGTAGAGGTGGATATGGTGGCGGTGACAGGCGCAACAGTTATAGAGATGGTGGAGCTGATAGACATCAGCACGGCGGAAACCGTTCGCGTCCTTACTGAGAGAATTTCCAGGTGAAGCAGATTTTATGTAATGAGAATTGTTGTCTGAGGGTTTTTGTAGTATTCTGTTGGAGGGTTCTTAAACTGGAGACTTAGAGGTAGGTTGTTCACTAACCCTGAGCAAGGCCTCTGTCCTCCTATATTAACTTTACCTAAAACTACCTGGAGGAGTTTCAGTTATATGCATGGGATTGATTTTAGTTGTGTGAATGTTTTATAGAGACAAGTCGATAATCTCCAAATTGCTTGCTGCTATGGTAGGTTGATATTTTCAGGTGAGTGCTGCTCTTTCGTAACCATTATTAACGTTTATTTGGAGATTGCCCAGATTTGCATCACTGGGTTCTTGATTGCATCTGATCATTTTATATCTATGGCTCAGATGCAAGCATTGATATCTGTACATGCTTTCTGACTGAAAATTTGTCGCCCGTATGAGAAATCACTGAAGATGCTTCCCGTGGCTGGGAGTTTATATTGGAATGTACTCGATGTTAGATGTGAATCCTGACCATTGGATTGGATTTTGCTTAACTTTGATCTCCAGCTGAACTTATTTAAGTTGCTACCATGTTACAAGGAATAGGTTTTCCATTTAGGATTTTGTTATATTGGATTGGTTAGAGATTTTTGATCATGTTGTGTGGAGGCTCTTTTCCTACATCGAGGCTTTTGCTTTGCGGTGATTCTACTTCACCACATCAATCTAGTGTTTTTAAGATCTAGTATTGTGCCAAAACGTCATGGTGCCTAAAATTTTGCCTACCGGTTGCCTTAATTGTTCAGCTACTTACTGGGTGGGGCTTGTCTTCCTTGTGGGTGACTGCAATGTACTTGTGGATGACAAGAATATCCGCGTAGCTACTAGCTCCTTGCGTCAACTATCCTGTCCTTCATTCTGTTGCTGATGGGTGCTTGCTGTCATGTGCTTCGATTGTATTCTTGGCATTTGCCTTGTGGTTTTCTTTCAGTTTTTAGTTTAGGCAATGATGGAGTACACCCTAGTAATCACTTTGCGGTCGGAGTTCAAATTGTTGTATTACATCCCAAACATTTGCATATTTGAATCAAACCGTTTGTTTCCTTGATGTCTTCTCTATTTTTCCTTTTGTTCTGAAGTGGTGATTTGCTGTTTGTTTGTAAATTGATGTGCTACATTGTTGGGCTTAAAACCGCCCGTCTCCGTATGATTGGCATTTTGCGATATGATTTGGTGTTTGTTCGGAGATGCATAAGCGGTCCGTATGGTGTTTGTTTTGCTTAAAACTTTTGTCGATGCAAGCAACTGCAGCCCTTTTCCCTCTATTTTGTGTTTGCCGAGTGTTCATCTTATTGGTTGTTAGTGCTCGGTTCTATGTGGACAACAAAACTCATACCACATCTTATGGTTGTTACTGCTCGGCACGTCGGCGACTCAACGCAGGCCCTCGGCCCCATCTTATGGTTTTTTATTATATCGGTTGCATTTTTTCTGATCGAATTTAAGACGTTTCATTTATAAAGGGGAAAGAGTATTGTAAGCTTGTAGCATTGCGACGGTTTATAAAATATATTTCAGCGATGAGTCAAAAACCCGTAAACTTACTTTTTTCGGATTTTGACTTTCAATTTGGTTGTGAATAATCTAATATTTTAAAATGTGCCAATACGAGTAATGAAAAGTAACATAAAATGTTTTTTTTATTTAAATATAAGCAACATTTTTACTACCCTATCAAGAGTGGATAATTCGAATATGGAGCAAGTTGAAAAGAAACGGAAAATCGACAGTTGACGGCAAATGAGATTTCGCCTCGTTTCTTTGATAAGTGGGCCTTTATTTTAAAGATTCAAGGCCCATTACGGCCCATCTTATGTTCATAAATCCCTCTCAAATTGAAATTCAGAGAACCATTTTGCCGCCCAAATGTCAGAGCTCTTTCGATCGCTTGTCCTGAACAGAAGGTCCATTTCTACTTCTTCTCCAATCTTTCATCCATCTCTCTCTCTCTGGTACTGAAAATCTTGAGTTATTCAGGTTTGATAACGCGACGCTACGAGTATTGGAATCAGCATTGGTTTCGAAGGACGTAAAGTCGTCGATGGAAGTCAGGTCCGGCTTCAGGCAGTTCATGAAATCTGAATCCCTCTCTGTTCTGCGAGAAACTGCAGAGAAAAATGTGGAGGAGAAGCTTCTGGTTCTCGAGTTTCTTGTTCGCGCTTTCGCACTAGTAGGCGATGTTGAGGCAAATCTTCTCAAAACTCAATCCTCTCAATTTCATTGTTTTCATCGTACCCCCTTACTTTGATTCAATTAAAGATTTCAATTTCAGGCGTAATTATTCCTAATTTTTTTTTTTTTATGCCACTTCGGGCGAAATTGGTGAATTTTATGAAGTTAATTATGTCATAAGCCAAATCGCTGGGGTTCTTTGGAATTTGGTACTAATGATCTGTTATGTGCTTGTGGCTCGGTTTGTGATTGCAGAGTTGTTTGGCTTTGAGATATGAGGCATTGCTTTTGCGGGACGTCAAATCTTCGACGAATCCGTGGCTACAAGTTTCTTATACGGAATGGCTGAATTTTGCTCACCAGTCAAGAGATAGTGGTTTCTATTCAGTTGCAGGAAAGGTGAGTGTGATCATCACCTTCATAACCATCACTACTTTGTATCAGTGTTCTTAATTTCCCAACTTATTCGTATCCGGAGAAGCAGTGCAGGTGTAGCTAAAGGAATAAAGAAGGAATTTTGTTTGATTTTTCAGATTATGATTGATTTAGTACCCAGATCTATGATCAATTGCTTGATAACTAAATCTGTGGTCGATACCCTAGTTATCGTTTTCCTTGAGATTTCTTATTTTCAAGTTAACAAGATATAAATCAGTTGACAACATGCAGATTTCTTATTTTTAAAGCCTGGGACTACATGTTTTAAATTTGTTGTTATCGTTTCTTTTGATTGCTATTGATTCCTAAAATGAGCGGCACAAGCGCAACAAATCTTATATTTAGTGCTATACAAATGGCTTATTTACTACTAGATGAAGGTGGATTAGACACGCAAGACTATTGCATTTTTATCATGTAATTGCTCATGTTATATGTAATAACCAACTGCATGCTATGTGTGCTTTTCAACACACTTTTTGTATCGTCAATCTTTGTTATTGTGGTGTATATCCTGATTTAAGGTTTTTCTGTAGGCATGTGAACATGCATTGGATTGCATTAAGAGGAAATCTACTGAAGACCGTAAAACAGATGAAGTTAACGTTATGAAGAAATCTACTGAAGACCCAAAAACAGATGAAGTCCTCGAAAGTGTGCAAGCAATTGAAAAGATAAAGAGACTCAAGGATTGTGCCATGGCATCTGCTTCTTCCCACTCTGGTAATTCTTCGTAACCGTTTTGATTTTCTTCAATATGAATGCCGTGTTTTTGTTTGTGTTTTATGTGCCAGAATTGCTGATAGAGTCAACTTGAAATGTGAATTGATAATTATGTCCACACTTTACTGTGGTTGCTTTCCAGGCTTCCTATTTGCTTCGTAATATTAGGTCATAATACTGAATGCTTTCGGTTAACCTATTTGCAATGTGAGGTAAGTTTTTGATGCTATTATCTCTGCTTCCAAATAGTGAGAATTTATACCCGGTTTATACTCAGGTAACAAACCTCTCACTTTCGTCATATAGGGGCAATAATGAAATGCAAAGATATGGGTAGGTGGGGAAGTTGGTTAGGATTAGGCTATGTCAAGGGTTCGCTACTCTCCATTGCAACGAAAACAAATGTACGATGTTGCAGTGTTTGCTGCAGTTCCTTAATCGATAGTTACTCCTGCTTAGGTATCTCTACAGGAAATCTCAATGTAGTTCTTCTCTTTGGTTTTATGTGACTCATATTTGGTAACTAAGTTAATGTATTAACTTATCCACGGCATTCGGGGGTTGTTTGCTATAATTTGATCATGGAAACTTCTGTTGGCTGATATCAGTTCAAGCGCAGACGGCAGACTACTTGAAAAAGAGACTAAAGGAGAAGAGCACGGAGCGTCCTTTAGATTTCAAGGAGCCAAAATGTGTAGCAAGCACTTTGTTCCGAAATGGAATCAGAAGGCGGAATCTACGAAAATTGAACATGAGTCGAAGCTTGCTGGGGATGACTAATGAATCATAGCCTAGTCCTTGTGCTCGTGGATTCTATTTGCAGCCTAGAAGGGAACCCTGAAGTTTGATTTAGAGGTGCTTGTGTGCACCAAGTGCCTGAATATCTTAATCATAACAAAGATAAGATCTACAATCACAACAATAACAATTGGTCTCATGTAGTATGTCTTACATTGACATTGTAGCTGTCAAACTACAGTAACAAGGGGCGGACTTGTAGCTTATGTGGTTAAGAGTTGTTATCCTGTATTTAAGGTATTGTGTTCAAATGGCCTTCTTGCGATATTTACTTGCATCAGAAATAAACATAAAACAAAAGATGGATCCTAAAGCCCCACGGTTGGGTACATTTTGCTTAGATTACTTTGGATAGTACTATTCACACACTTCTTTTTACTTTTTGCACAACTTTTTTAATTTTTGTCTATTGATGTTTTTTAATTCATTCGATATGCTAACTGGAAATTAAAAAAAATATGTGAGAGTTAAAAATGAATGTGTGAATAATATCACTCTTTTATTTTAAGAATCACATTGGTTTTCCCTTAGGCTTGGAGTTCTATGTATCAGTCTGCAAGGCCCGATCGCAGGTACCTAGGTGGCATTCTCCGGCCTGCTCAATTAGAGGGCCATTCGGACAAAAGGTGCTCATACTTATTTGTCCTTTTTCGAAATTTTGTTTTTTTGTTTTTGTTTATTAATTTGACTCTCTTCTGCATTTTTTTGTGCGTGAAAATGGTTTATGTACTCCTCTATTTAATGAATTGAGATACTCTCTCGATATTTAGATTCGAAGTTTCTCCATCTTAGATTCTTTTTGTTTAAACTGAAAACTCCGAGCAATTCCCTCTGGTCAGTCTTGGTACTCTTTTTCGTTATCATCGAATATGTTCTGCTTTTTTTCATTTTAATGAATTTGAAAATTTAGACCACTCAATTTAAATTATACGATTCACATTGGCCCATTTCATACAAAACGATGAGTAAGATCTCTCTCTCTCTCTCTTGACAGCCCGGCTTTTTTGATCCGTCTGCTCTAAACACAGAGATCTAAAGAGAATCTCAGCTCCTATTTACTAAGAAATTTTGGATCCGACAGTCGAACCACGTGTTCGTGTGGCTTCAGACACCAAAAAATGCACCTATTCTACTCTTTTTTATGGGTGGTGCTAGCCACACACCCTTTCTTACCTTCTACACACCCCTGCTAATTTTTGTTCTTTGACTCTTCTCAATTTATTCAACCTGAAAATGAGAGGAGTATGTGGAACGTAAAAAATGATGTGTAGATAGCACCACCCTTCTCTAATTTGTCATGCTAGTCCTTGTCCACTTCTATTTCACCCCTTTCACACCACCCCTCATCTGGTGCTGCACACAAAAATCTCTCCTATTTAGTCTCTTGATTATTTTTTAATTCATTCAATTTAAATGCTAGGAAAAAAAAAAGTGCAGTAAGACAAAACAAAGTGCGTTAGTAATTTCCATTTCTACACACTGTATAGTTTATGTTGGCAATGGTCTTTTGGGTACTACATAGAATTTTGAAATCAAAACTTATGTACTTGCAACACACTTGTAGTTTAAGTGTTTGAGAGCAATTAATCATACTGCAGAAGTGCTAGGTTTAATTTTTCTATTTCTCGCTTCTATGAAAAAAGTTATGTAACTAAAAGTTAAGGCTATACTGATAATTAACGTGGCCTAGCTTTTACCAGCCGCATCATATTTGCCCTAATATTTTTAAGCTGAAAATACTTATTTTTATTTGTTTACGTGTTAACCATGCATAGTTTAACACGCGTGTATAAATATATATATATATATTTTTTTTTTTTATATACTTTTAATGAGTTACTTTTACTAATACTAGTATTTGCCTACATACTTTGTATGTATGAACTCATTTTTTAGAGAGAGAGAGAGAGAGAGAGAGAGAGAGAGAGAGAAAGTGGGGGAAGTGGGAGGTTTTTGTTTTTGATTTTATTTTTAAATATTAGAGAAATTTTAACATCATCTGCATGTAAGGCTTCAATAAAAAATAGTAAAATTTGAACATGTGAAATTATATTATTGCCCATCATTTTTTTTGTGTGATAGAAGACTAAGTTTTCTTTTCAATCTCTTTTGATTGACAATGAGGGTTTTATTAATTAATAGAGATGTCAAATTGTGGTTGTAATTTTGTAGAAAAAAAAGAAGAAGAAAAATATGACTCGTTTTAAGAATGCAAACCCAAACATATATAGTTATTTTCGTTGTATTGTGTTGATAGTGGGAAAATGGAAGCATCGGAAATCCAACACCACTCTGTTTCAAGCAAATTGAAATTGAAATTGAGGTGAGGATAGCGCCATATGACCGAAGTTTGAGGGTGCCATTGTCAAACTTATATGGCTTCTAATGTTATCCACCATTTTAGAACATATATATATATTAAGAAAACCTGCATGCATATATCTCAAGAATCGAATCTTCCATATGACCAAGGCAAGCGCATTCAATGTTTGCATCGGAGGTTGCATGTTTTATTTTCCTCTAAGTTGATGAAAGATGTCTGTTTTTCCTCTACTTCATTCATTTGCTTAAAATATACAGTAAAACAAAAACTTCACATAGATCTCACCGTCTAGAGCTGAGAAGTTTTTCTTCTTCCTAGACCTTAGGGTTTGAAACTTGAAACACAAAACTGAAACTTGTATAATATTAATTAAAAATATATACGCGTTTTCTGAGGTAATGTGTTGATGAAATGAAGAAAGCAGAGGAATGATATATTGCAGAAGAAGAAAGAAATTCAACATTTTTTTTCCTTCGTATAATGATGTATTTGTTGAAAGTAATAATCGCTCGTTAAGGAAAGAAAAGACTCTATATATTGCAGAAGAAGAAAGAAATTCAACATTTTTTTTTTCTTCGTATAATGATGTATTTGTTGAAAGTAATAATCGCTCATTAATGGGTTTATAGTAGAACCTCAAATACTAAGGGATGAGGGATGAGGGATTTAAGTACGTCACATAATAATTTAGTATCGAACTTGTCATATCCACATAGTAGTCGAACTTAAAATCTCTTACTTATAAGTAGAGAAGAATATTATTTAAGTGGCAAAAAAAAAAAAAATCAACATTATAGCTTTACATAATGAACAAGTCATAATAATTTAGTGTTGAACTTGTCATCCTCAGTCAAACCGTTAATGAGTCGAGTCATTATCAGGTCATCCGTTTAGAACTGGCCTTAAATGATTCGGTTTGTTATCGGATTACACATTAAGAACCCATTAAGATGATGGGTATGACACTTAAACGACCCATTTGTCAGGTCTAAACATTAGGCATAACAATTTATTGTAGGACCTTTTAGCCCGATAAGAACACGATTTGTTTGTCAGGTCACCAGTCTGTCAGGTCTAGACATTAGCCATTAGACATGACAATTTCTTGCATGACCCATTAAACCAACACGAAACAACACGATCTGTAACGAATCGAATCCTTATTAAGTCACTTGTTATTTGATACGATACGATCTACTAAGATAACAAATATGAAAAAACGATACAAATGCAACAATATGACCCGTTTTCCAAGTCTCAGTAGTCGAATCTAAAACTCTCTCACTGATAAATAGAAAAGAATATTAGTTATGAGACTCTAGTTTTAAGTGGCAAATAACTTCAAATTTTCGCCCCCATTTCAATATTAGAATAACACACATATATACATATATTGTGTGAGAGATCAGAGATGAGTCTCTAATTGAAAACACAGGCATTATTTATAATTTAAGATACATTAATTGATGCTACGACTTAATAATAAAAAACGAAAAACGGATATATATAAACATATGCGATGACAACTAGCTAGGGGAAGAGAGCTGTTTTCCTCGGAACAAAAGATTAGAAGCTTGGAATCATGTGGAGATCATTAAATGCAAGAGAGTGAGAAGAGGTCTTAGGGTTTCACAACTGCTATTTGTTTTAGTTTCAATCTCTCTCGAAACGGGTTTCCTTTTTAATAAATTCTTAAGCCTTTGCTTCATGTCGGATCTCATTAATTGGGTCACATTAATTTCTCTGTGGAGGCTTAGTATTATCTTATATGCTTATTTGTTTTTAACACAACGTATACATGTGACTGAGGATTTTTAAAATTATATAAAACTTAGTAGTACTGGTCACTCGTGTGACATGTTAATTCATGGATGGTTTGCGGCCATGCAATGTTTGAACATGCATGCATTGTGCCAAAAAAAAAAAAGTTTACAACTTGTATTTCTTTTTATTTTTTCTCTCAATAAATTTGAATTCGATTATATATGTTAGGTTTGAATTAAAATAAAACGTTTCATGCCTTGCATGACTGTGGTAGATGGATTGGTGCATATGCCTTAGGAACTTACTAGTTTACAAGCTAAGCTGTGCAATTTCTAGCTACTTCAAGAGGGGTTATTCCACCATGAAAGTAAGGTCAACCAATTGCCAACAGAAGTTTGCTGTTCTACTAGTTGCTAATTGGTTTTGTATGATATTGGAGTTTGTTTACCCTAGCTCAATGGCCATATGTGATTTGTCTACATGTTAGGTTTTAAAGTTTCGTCACATGTAAAGAAGTATTAAGGATGTGAAGAATTACACCAGTTTATTATTGTCAATAAATTTCAGAGTATAATCTACACATGCGTCCATCAGAAACGATAAACATGAGTTTACGTAACGCCAAACAAAAACATGTGCATATATAGCAGTCACAATCTGGTAGGAAAAAAAAATGGCAAAATTACCATTTTTCTATGAAGTCGTCATGAACTTTATTTTCAAAATTGATGTGGGGCTAGTCCCCCGAAAATGCTCATTAAAGTTGGGGTTAAAAATCTTTCTTGCTGAAACTTTACTTGTAGGATTGTACTAGAAAGACCATTTAGAGAAAGAGATAACCCGCATAATGTCTGTAGGCCTTCCCCTTAAATAACATTGTTTGAATTTTATTCAAGATCTGTATAGGAACTCTTGAGGATCCAATAATTTTTGTAAATTTTAAGTAACATGAAAACAAACGCGTTTTGGTTTAATTGTTATGATGAGTCTAATGACCGATGAGATCTAATCATTTTTTTTTAGGAAAACTAATGAAAATGACTTGAAAACTTTAAGTTTTAACGATAAGGACAAAATAAATGATACAGTGAATAGTACTAGAATTGATTTTTTAGTGTAAAAATGTGGTTTTCGTTAAAGAATAGTACCGGAAGCTTTTCGTTAAAGTTTTTTTTTTTTTTTGTTTTTTGTATTTCCGGAAAAGGGGTTAACATATATGTATATTTGATATTTAAAGAATGGTAGGCTTTATGTTTTTGGTATGTAAAGAATATTTGTAGTTGGTCAACATAGCTGCATGAAAAAAATAAGAAAAACTAAATCCATTATATTTGTTTGACAAAAAATAAAATCCATTATATTTGGTAAACATAAACTTAATAGAAATTAATATATTTTGGGTGAGTGAGAGCATTGATCGAAGATTCAAAAGTTCTAATATAGGCGTTGGGGGCTGTGAGATAGAAATGTTGTGAAAATGTATGTTTCCATGTGAATGTCCGCCAACAAACATTCACGTCGTTGAGTCCATCTCTCTCGGTGTCTTGGTCCCGGTTAGGGTTTCACATCCCTTTCAAGTTCTCTCTCTTACTAAAACCCTAACCTTAGTTAACCTCTCTCCCCAATTAATGGCTTTCAAATTAATCTCTAATTTAATATTCGTTTTCAATAATTAATCCTTTGTTTTTTTTCTTCTTCTCTTACTAGTTTTTGCTTATACCAATACAGTGCAGCAGAAGATAGAAATAGAAGAGTCAAACCAGAACGTGAGAACTACACAACTGCATGGCTTTTGCCAACCTATATATATATATATATATATATATATATATCATACAATTCACGCGCCTAGGCGGTGGTCAACTAGAGAAGAATCTATTCCCTCCAATATTGACCTAGTTGCCCTTGCTAATCACATTCAAATCTGTCACGCTTCATGGCTATAATCGTAATTTGACATATGAAATTGCTAATTTGCCTAGTTGAGGATATCCAGATTCTAGTTATTTTAAGTCTGAATTTGTTTTATGATTGTTAATTGTGATGATAATATTATTTTAATGGCGAAGCATGTGGAACCATTCTACCTTAAGGCTACCATCCTTGAACCAATATAAATATGCAGTTTCAGTTCTTTGGCTTGAACACTACCAAGCTTCCTTTTGTTACAACTCTTCAGTAGTAAGAAAGTGCTTTCCAGCTTTTCTTAATCACGCAGTTCTTCGGAGGGAAAATTTTCTTTTTTGGGGTTGTTCTTTTTAGAGTAAAATATGGGATCGGGCTCTTCCCCGTGTGCTTCTTGCAAGTTGTTGAGGCGCCGGTGCGCCAAAGACTGCATCTTTGCCCCTTACTTCCCTTCTGATGACCCTCATAAGTTTGCCATTGTTCACAAGGTCTTTGGTGCTAGCAATGTTAGCAAAATGTTGCAGGTTTCTCACTCTCTCTAAACTTGAATTTCCACACACTCTTTTTCTCTCCTGCAGTCCCCTGTTTATTTATGGTTTCTGAATTGAATAAATTAAATGAGACTTAGTAGATATAAATAAAAATGAAAGCTCACAAATGAAAAAGGGTGTGAGAAAACGCTATTTGCACTCGCTTCATGCACTTTTATGGAAGGGTGCTGCAAACAAGACCAGCACAATTAATTGATGGCATGTTATTTGCTCTCATCCATAGAAGTGCAAGCATCCCCTTGATCAATGCCTAAGTTATATACTTCTTATTTGTTGTATATTTCTGATTTCGTTAAACTAGTGACAAGAGACGAGTTCAAACAAAGAACAATTACAAAATTAGGTTTTTTATGTGTCTATTAAGTTATGATTTCCTGTTCATTCAGGAGCTTCCCATTCATCAAAGAGGAGATGCTGTGAGCAGTTTGGTTTATGAAGCAAATGCAAGAGTGAGAGACCCGGTTTACGGGTGCGTTGGGGCAATTTCTTTCCTGCAGAATCAAGTTTCTCAGCTGCAAATGCAGCTTGCAGTGGCTCAGGCAGAGATACTTTGCATCCAGATGCAACAGGAACCTGTAGCCTTACCATCCCAGATTGATCAACACCAACACCATCATCATCATCAAGATCATGACCAGAAGTCCCTTCTTTTATCCAACAGTGACATCAATAGCATTCCACATCAATACTTCAGCAGCTTTGCTTCTCCTAGCAATGTAATCCAAGACCCTCTTAAAAAAGAGTCTCTTTGGACTTGATCATTTGCTTATCATCATTAATCAAAGCACTGCCAATCCATCTTTCCAATACAATTTCCTTTATCTTTGCTTGATCATTCAATTCGTACTGCTCTATTTGTGTGTGATCCGCATGTGCACGCAGGCATCGGTTTCATTTTGTGCACGTACGTATGAGAGAGAGAGAGAGAGAGAGAGAGAGAGAGAGAGAGAGAGAGAGAGAATTTTGTATATGGAATTTTGGGTCAACCCATGCATGTGGGAGATGGAGTAAAGTAGGGTTTACAAGGCTTCTTTTTCTTATTGTAGACGTCATTGTAGAATGTAAAGCTATTAGCGCTCTTTGACTAAAATTTCCTTCTTCTAGTTTTTTCACCATAATATTTGTTGACACGCTAAATGACTCACTGGGGTTCAACTTTCAACCTATCCCTCCCACCCCAATGTACAGTAATATAGCTGCTTATAACAAGTGCATATAATGTTTCTCCATATAATAACAGTTTGTGTGACAAGCACTCCCAATATTTTCTCCAAAAAAAAAAAAAAAAAAAACCTACATATGAACCAATGTATTAAAAGGTGGGGGCGTGGCCGAGGTGTCCAATGGATAGTCCAGCCTAGGCGCGAGGCGAAGCCTCACGGAACCTAAAATTTTAATATTATATATATATATATATATAAGTATATTTATAACAATATAATACTTTGTAAAAACAAATATAACTATAACTAAATCAAAGATAATATCATCTTCTTTATTACTAAGTCTAGTTGTACTTGGAAACAATGTCATATAGTCTCAAAATGTTATAATTATTTATTTTATTGTAAGCGATTATAGAGAACTTCAAGGAAAATAAGGATGAATGGTCACAATTATAGAAAAATTTCAAGCAAAATAAAGGCTTAATGTTGCAATTATAAGTAATTTAAAAGGAAATAAAGGTTGAATGGAGTAGTTATAGGGTATTTAAAATGATATAAAGCAATAATTATGGGAATTTAAAGGAAAATAAAGGGTTGGGTGAAGTATTTATAGGGTATTTAAAATGAAATAAATGGCGAAAATGGTTGAGTGGAGTATTTATAGGGTATTTAAAATGAAATAAAGGCTAAGTGGAGCAATTATTATGGAAATTTATGGGATTTGGAGAGAGAAAGTATCTCCTTCTTCTTCGTTGAAACTAGAACAGCAAAAAACATTTCAGAAAACCTTGATTTTGAAGAAAAAAAAGGCCAGATGAATGCCTCGTATGCCCAGAGGTGCGCCGTCGCCACCTAGACACGCTCCAACGAAGCCTTCCGTCCACTCCCTCAAAACAGAGGCGGGAACACTGACGCCCAGCCTCAGAGGCCGCCTAGGCGCGCCCTGAGGCGAGCCTTTTAAAACACTGATATGAACCAAGAAAGCCAAAGATGAAACCAGTGGTTAGAGAGATAACTAGATGTCTCTTTAGGAGATTAAATTTCTTGGAACTATGGGGTTTTTGGAGATGGTTTATGCACATTAATTAGAGAAACAAGACCATAATATTGAATGGATCCCACATTGATGCATGTTTATAATGAAACTCATAATCTTTGGCCTCCATTTCCGACTTTATTGATGACATATAAGTAAGTTGTACTATTTCCCATATTGTCAATTGATTTTATGGTAGAACCTTTGTTGGATATTCAGAGAGACGAACATTAGGCCACTTCTAACCACACTGATACTATCCTAACTTAACCACCTATTCTTAAGTGTTGTGTTTTATCATAAAAGGCCTTGATGTTATTAATTATGAGTGGAACCGTACACTTATTTATTGTATTTTATTTTTCTTAATTTCTCGATGTGGGACATTTATTCAACAACCTCAACTTCTTCATGGTATCTGTTGACACTAAAGACTACCAAACCTATGTGGCACGCATGTCGAATAGCTAATGAGCTAACTACGTCATTCGGTTGAATAGGGCTTGCCAACTTGGCGACCGAGCTTGGCTGGTGAGTAAATGAATGTGGTGGCAGTGATGTCGAATGTGCTGCTGACTTCTTATCTAAGCGATTGCGGCTGAGGAAGAAACTCCTTTCGGCCTCTGGGTTCTAAAACATGAAGATAGGGCTACTAGTTATTGCTAAGTTCACGAATCGTCTGCACCAAGCTTGGATGCTTCGATTATATTTGTGCAAATATAAATGCGCTGAATCGGTACCAGATTGTATGGACACAAATACTCAAAAGAGATAAGTGTCTTTATCGTAAATGTGGTTTGACCGGAAGAATACCAGTCTCTAAAATGCACTTGTGAATCTAATCATAAAATAAATTTGGCTTTTAATAGCTAAACAACGTAACCTAATAACACTTCGCTTTGCTAAGAAAGCTAACGACGTGGCCTCTTCAAACTAGGACTCAGAGATTCCTTGCTAATAGAAACTTGGATAGGTAGTCAAACGAACTTATGGTAGAGTTGTTTCTACAAACTCAAAGATGCTTCTTATTCGCCCAACTCTACAGCTCCAGAGTCGTTTATACAAACTGAGAGATGTTATCGATTGTCAATCAGATAGCTGTTTATACAAACTGAGAGATATGCTTGACAAAGTTAAGAATGTCAGTTGTCTTCTCAAAGGTGAAAGGGTTTCACGTATAAGGAGAAATTATGCAGGGCAGATTTGTTTGTTAATTTGAAGAGGCCTTGAATGTTGCAGACCGTCTTTTATTTATAGAAGTGATTTTCTACAGATTATTCCAAAGTAAAGTCTCATCTGGATTGTACTTTATCAACACCAATCCGTTATGATCCTTGTATGAACCTTGGCTAATCTTACCAGACTTAGGACTCTGAACCCAGTCCTTTTAATATATTTAATTCATTCCTGACCCTTATTAACTTCGAACCTAGATTCTTGGAATATTACAAATCCTAATAAAGCAGAACCCAATCTCAAAGACTCCTACTTGATTCAGGACTCGGCTGAATCCAATCTTGACTCTTAAAGAATCCAACATTGTCTAGAATTCAATTAACTCACCTTGGGCTGGACTTATATGTAAAAAACTATCATGGATACTCAAGACTTTTCACTTTAGGCCGAGCACAAAGTCACACTCGGCCTAAGCCCACTATTTCGAGTCTAAACAGTATCATAACAAGTTGTTCCTGGTGTGAAGCCAAATGGCCACATGTGCTCTATGTGTCTCATTTTGTTCTATCCACGTGTTAAGCTTGATAATTCGCCATAAATGAGGGAGTGTTGAGAATGAATCTGACATTGATGGAAGAAGAGACTTTGCATGAACATATTAGTATGTTAAGCTACTTCTCATATCATTAATTGATTTTATAGTGAAACCATAACTTCTTCACATGTGGTTACAAGCAAAGAGGCCTTTTGTTCTAGAGCATTAATCAGATTTCGAGGAAATTTGTTGGGGTAAAATAAAAAAGCGAACGGTGCACGGTGCATCCTCTTTTATGTAGATGCCTTTTGTTTTGGTCTCCCGTACTCCTCGCCTCATTAGTACTCAAAATCATGTTTTATACAACTATGTTTCATTTTATGTTTTTATTTTTTTGTTGGTATCAAGCTTTCCTCTTTATCGTCTTTGGCCATTTTCTATCTTAATGTTTGAAAAGGTTTGCAGCTCAATCGATTAAGAACATCACTTTTCTCACATGAGATTCTAAGTTTAATTTCCGCTTCGCTTAATAATTTACTTGTATTAAAAAAAAAATTGCTTGCATTGTGGGTAATGTTAGATTTGATCTAATGTTTTAACATCTCTTCTATTAAAGATGTATCTAACGTTGATCACTTCTTATATATATTTTTTTTTTTTTTTTTTTGTTTTTTTGAGGTGGAGTTGAGTAGACTGTAGTACTAAGTGACAATTAAATTTTTTTTTTTAAACTTAAAAAAAATTGCACAAAAGATTCTCCGTGGAACTTTAAACCATACATATCAAAATTAATTTCAAGTATAATTTCAGTGAAAATATTTAATTTCACTCGTATCAAAGAGTTTTTCTTTTTATAGCATAATCAATTGTATATCATTTTAACAAGATTTGTAAACATAAAAAAACAGTGAAGAAACAATTTAAATTTCATCAGATTTTGTTTCTTAAGTTAGGATGTAACGGTCACTTAGTACTACGGTCATTGGTATTCCTCCTCACTTGTAAGTGAGAGATCTTAGGTTCAATTCTCATCAAAGGCGAATTTGAACCACATTATTGCTAGCCTATTGTGAGGCTTAGCCCATCCCCCACCACTTAGTGTAGATAATATTTTTTGTAAAAAAAAAGTCAGTATTTAACTGACTTTCAAATTCTAATTATGTTACCACGAGGGATATAATTAAGTGAAGAGTGTTGAAGTTTCACTATAAAATATACTGTTTAGATGAATCTTTTATTGGTTGAAGAAAGTTGAAGCCATGCATATGATACTAGTTAACCAAACTATTCATCAGAATTATGTGATCGATGACTTCTAAATTTCAAAGCCTTGGTGGAGTCTTGACTAAGCAAATATTATGTTGACAAAGAGATATATTCTGTTTTTGCGTTCCAAATCTCGACTGATCAGAGTGCATGGTGCCTCAAACGAGCATGTGTCGAAACCCCCTACAAATTAATACAGCTTGCTGCTGCTTGCTCTAACGTGTTCACATGAGGAGCTACAATCTCCAAAGAAGTACGCTGTTCTCTTCAAATATTTAATACAAAATTAATATTGTTTTTTTAGACGAAAACAAATGTTATTTAGACCACAATGATCAGTATATTTTAATTAAGAATAATAATATTTATGACTTGAAATTGTATTATATCAAACACCAATCTATGGTCGCCTAATGAACTGTCGAGGCAACACGCCTTGGAATGTATGGGCAATGGCTGTATGCGTGTGTTGACATAGAGAACACCTTTTATCCTCTATGGAATATTAAAATTTCTGAAGTACAGTGAAAGTTGGCTTCGTATTGATTCACATGAGTGGACTGGAAGTTTACGAGGAAACCAGCTAAACACGGTTGATTCGAAACTGATGCAAAGTTGAAAGGCAAATACCGTGAATCTGAATTGCACATCTTGGC